AACACGACCATATCATTTGATGTGAATAACATATTTATCTCGCAACCATCGTGTTTTGAAGCGGAATCGTATACATTTAAAATAGCCATGGAAAATAGTAGTAAATAGAGGCAAAAATGAAAAAGTTTTCAACGTCTCCGGAAAAGCATGGTTTCGAACACAACACTATCATTTGATGTGGATAACATATTTTTCTCGCAACCATCGTGTTTTGAAGCCGAATCGTATACATTTAAAATAGCCATGGAAAATAGTAGTAAATAGAGGCAGAAATGAAAAAAATTTCGACGTCTCCAGAAAAGCATGGTTTCGAACATGACCATATCATTTGATGTAAATAACATGTTTTTCTCGCAACCATCGTGTTTTGAAGCGGAATCGTATACATTTAAAATAGCCATGGAAAATAATATTAAAAAGAGGCAAAAATGAAAAAGTTTTCAACGTCTCCGGAGAAGCATGGTTTCGAACACGACACTATCATTTGATGTGGATAACATATTTTTCTCGCAACCATCGTGTTTTGAAGCTGAATCGTATACATTTAAAATAGCCATGGAAAATAGTAGTAAATAGAGGCAAAAATGAAAAAAATTTCGACGTTTCCGTAAAAGCATGGTTTCGAACATGACCATATCATTTGATGTGAATAACATATTTTTCTCGCAACCGTCGTGTTTTGAAGCGGAATCGTATACATTTAAAATAGCCATGGAAAATAGTAGTAAATAGAGGCAAAAATGAAAAAGTTTTCAACGTCTCCGGAAAAGCATGGTTTCGAACACGACACTACCATTTGATGTGGATAACATATTTTTCTCACAACCATCGTGTTTTGAAGCCGAATCGTATACATTTAAAATAGCCATGGAAAATAGTTGTAAATAGAGGCAAAAATGAATAAAATTTCAACGTCTCCAGAAAAGCATGGTTTCGAACACGACCATATCATTTGATGTAAATAACATATTTTTCTCGCAACCATCGTGTTTTGAAGCGGAATCGTATATATTTAAAAGGCATGGAAAATAATATTAAATAGAGGCAAAAATGAAAAAGTCTTCAACGTCTCCGGAGAAGCATGATTTCGAACACGACACTATCATTTGATGTGGATAACATATTTTTCTCGCAACCATCGTGTTTTGAAGCTGAATCGTATACATTTAAAATAGCCATGGAAAATAGTAGTAAATAGAGGCAAAAATGAAAAAAAATTCGACATCTCCAAGAAGGGTTTAGAACACGACTCTATCATTTCATGTGGAAAATATATTTTTCTCGCAACCACCGTGTTTTGAAGCAGAATCGTATATATTTAAAATAGTCATTGAAAATAGTAGTAAATAGAGGCAAAAATTAAAAAGTTTTCATCGTCTCCAGAAAAGCATGGTTTCGAACACGACACTATCATTTGATGTGGATAACATATTTTTCTCGCCACCATCGTGTTTTGAAGCCGAATCGTATACATTTAAAATAGCCATGAAAAATAGTTGTAAATAGAGGCAACAATGAAAAAAATTCGACGTCTCCGGAAAAGCATGGTTTCGAACACGACACAATCATTTGTTGTGAATAACATGTTTTTCTCGCAACCATCGTGTTTTGAAGCAGAATCATATACATTTAAAATAGCCATGGAAAATAGTAGTAAATAGAGGCAAAAATGAAAAAATTTTCGACGTCTCCGGAAAAGCATGGTTTCGAACACGACCATATCATTTGATGTGAATAACATATTTTCCTCGCAACCATCGTGTTTTGAAGCGGAATCGTATATATTTAAAATAGCTATGGTTTGCCTATTTGTTGATTTATTGGTAATGTTGATCTTTACTTTAATTCAAGTTTACATATAATTGATTATTGGTTTATATTGAATTGGTATGAAGAATTTGCTCATAATTTTTACTTTAAAATTGAACTTTTCTTTTTATTCTGATTTTTTGTTTGTCATATGCATTTTGGAGCGTTATTTTAACATGATATTGGCTTCAATATGATTTTTTGCTTCTTTATGAGTGTATTGTGGAGATATTTTCAATAGTCAGAACAATCTCATAAAATCGAAATAAAAAAGTTGAGGAGATATTAAAATGGAATATCTGGAAAGGGATTATTATATCATAATATGGAACTTGTAAAATAGAAGTTCGTAGTTATGTACTTTAGCCAGAGAAAAAAGAAAAAAATTGATAATGGGTATTCAAGGACTAGCAGCCAACACCTAGAGCACTGTGTGCGAAGAAACTTTGAAAGTTGAGAATTCCGAAAGCAATAATTCATGTTCAACACAAAATCAAATCTAGCGAGCAAGCACAACTAGTTTGATTCAAACATGTACAAAACATACACGCACACACACATACCCACACACACACACATCCAACACCACTTGCAACATACATATCATGTTATCCTATGAATCGACTAAAGGATGGATGGTACAGGTACACGCAAACTGAACTGTTTACGTGGTACAATATGGGTATTATATTGGGGAAATTCTTTGACAGCTAGCTAGGGCGTAACAGTGCCCATAGATAAGCTCCTTACAGCAACCTTAACAGCCCCGACCACACTAAGTTGTCTTGTCTCTGGTCTCAACCCGTATGCCTCCCCGTTACTAAATTCATCTTCTTTCTGAATCCCGACAAAGAATGCCACCTGAATGATTTTTTTTTCAGTTATATAGGGGAGATACGAAAAAGAGGAGAGTTGGTCAACAGAATAATCTGAACAATAATTATAATTTGAAGATTCATAACATGACACGAGGTTCATATACCAATATAATGGCTTTTAATATTTACACCTCAAGTTAGACAACCACCAAATAAACAGACAAGGGCAGAGTATTACCAAATATGAATACTACTGGGATACAAGTATGGTACGCGTATAGAAATGTACACAATCACCTAACTTGTTTACCCGTTATTATTATACAATATGTAATCATATAACTTGTCATAATATATATTATACATTTAGTTATTTTAGGTAACTTGTAAGCATAATATGTATGACTTACAGTTATTATATTCAGAGTATGTTGACTGTATATTACTATCACATAGCAGTATATTTATATTATAAACTGTCATTATAGATTATTTATAAATAAATACTCAATCACCCAAAGATTCTCTCAACGTGTGTTGTGTATTAATTCTACCTTACCTAACTGGTAAGGAAAGGACTACCGGAACTCAAATAGTATTTTTTTTTTTTCAAAAAAGTTTTACTGTTCAAGGCTCTAAGAAATTCTAGAGAAACAACAGTGCAATTTGTTATCCAATTCTAAACAGTTAAAAGTATCAAACGCATGAATACAACTTAATCCAATATTGTCAAAGGACCTTCACAAATCACACATATCATATGACCATCGTATAACAAACAAAAAGTGAGAAGATGAAAATGATTATATAGTTGACAAAAAAAATCTTATTACAATTGGTGAAAGGAAGAGTAGTTCACTAGTCTTATAAATTGGGTTTATTTTTCTGTATATAAACGATATGAGACAACTCACAAGTGGTATTATATTCTAATAATTACCAACTAATTTGTTAAGCTATGTCAACTGGTTTGAGGTCAGGTACCAATAAAGGCAAATGTGGAAGTTCCACAAAAAGTGACTCATCACTAGAAATAAAACCAAGTTTAAAAGAAACAAGGATGTTGCACGTGCGTCGAACGTGATTATCAATAATTTTTTAATTTAAAAGTTATATTTTTATTGAAATTATGCTTAAAATATTCATATTTTTTCATTAGTTTAATAAAAGAAGAAACACATATTATATAATAAATTATACAATTATATTGGCATTGAAATAAAATCTTTAATGATATTAAATAAAAAAAATGTTACATAGCCAACCTAGTGTACAACTAGGTTGACAACACAAGTGAATATCCACTTGTGTATTTTTTTATTTTTATTTTTGTGGATGTTTTTCACTTGTGTTGTTAACCTAGTTGTGCACTAGGTTGGTAATGTAGCATTCCTCTTAAATAAAAGCTATGGTTAAAAAAAAAATACATTTATGTCAACTAATCATAGTTTCTAAGCCCAACCCTGGAATGACCAGGGCAAGCATCCGAGTCACCGGTTCAACTATAGTCACTGGGTCAACTGCTGGACCGGATAATTAAATTTATATTTTAAAGTTATACATATAGTATTTTTATCATATAAATATACATGAAAGAAAGTAAGAGAAATAAAAATTTTGTACATAAAAGTGTCAATAAAATTCCATCTTGTAATAAATATTTGCCATAAAGAGAAAACAAGTGGTGGCCAAGAAGGAGACTTTCCAATATTTAGGATCGATGCTACAAAAGGATGACGGCAATGATGTTGATGTTAGGCATAGAATTGCAGCCGGTTGGTTGAAATGGCGTCAAGCTCCGGGCGTTCTCTGTGATAAGAGGGTGCCACAAAGGCTAAATGGTAAGCTCTATAGGACGGCGATTCGCCTGACGATGCTATACGGTGCTGAATGTTGGCCTACAAAAAGGCAACATGTCCAACAACTAAGTGTAGCAGATATGCGTATGTTGCGTTGGTTCTGCGGGCACACAAGAAGGGATAGAATCCGGAATGAGGATATTCGAGATAGGGTCGGGGTGGCTCCAATTGAGGAGAAATTGGTTCAACATCGGCTGAGGTGATTCGGACATGTCCAACGGAGGCCTCCTGATGCACCGGTGCGTAAGGGAGTTCTACAGCGGGTCGATGATGTAAAGAGAGGTAAAGGTCGGCCTAAACTCACTTGGGAAGAGTCCGTTAAGAGAGATCTTAAAGATTAGAATATCTCCAAGGTTTTAGCGGTGGATAGGAGCGCTTGGAGGCTAGCAATCAACGTGCCAGAACCGTGACTTTTGCTCCTTTTTCTTTTGCTCCAATCTCTTCCTTTTTGTTTTGAGCCCTTTTTGTGTTTCTATTACCATTGATTCTCTTGGGTTTCTTCTCTAGCCTACCCCAACTTGCTTGGGACTAAAAGGCTATGTTGTTGTTGTTGTAAAGAGAAAACAAGTGTTCTCTTAAAACTATTTTCAATGATGGTAACTCTGGTTCATTTAATTAACGAGTCGGACTCGGTTCAACAAGAGATTTTTTATATAAAATTCTCAATAGTTTTGATCACTAAGACTCTAGTTCGGCTCTTTAGTATAGAATCAAGGCTGGTTTATTCTCAAGCTTTCCCCATTTGCATCATGTTAAGGCCACCACATGTATTATAACATAGTTACTTTTTCTTTCATTACTTTTGTTTTCTTTCAAAGAAGTGAGACGTAACAATTTTTTTTGGTTTATTTTATTTATTTATTTTTAATTTTTATATTTGCTTCGATAATCTTACCGTCTTTATATGCTGAAATTATTGAAGACATAAATGTATATAAAAGTTGAATAAGATCATAGATAAACAAGTGTAATATAAAGAAGAACGACAAAATTTGATTGCAAAATGAATGTTAATAATCGTAAGTGAAAAAATTACAAAAGTGAACTTATAAATTAATTATAGTGTAGGGCATTTTTGGCAATCTAGTTTTTCCAAGAAACAACTCTCTCCCTTTTAAGAGAGTTGTAGATTATAGATAGATTATAGATTATAGATTATAGATACAGATATAGATAATTATCATAGAGTAGATGAAAAGAAATCTTTAGTGTATTAATCTGTAGGATAAAACTAAAGTCTGGATTACTTGGGGTAGAGAGAGACCCAGTGGAAGAGCGTGAGTAACTTGGTACACTATCCATGATAGGACAAATTAATAAGAAAACTTACTTCTGAAACCATTTTCATTCACGTCATTTGTCTGAGCAATGGTTAATGTAATTTAAATTTCTAAGCATTTCCTGCTGATGAACATAACTAAGTCCAGGCCCTTGGTCTCCAGTAAACTTATTAAGTGCACTTGTGCGAGACAGCAATATTTTCCAAGACATGCAGCAGTAATAATCATAGGAAATCTTTTGTGGTGCGTGAATGCATCTTCTAACACTTATAGGTACGTATGTTAACTGACACTATTTCGTATCCAACAAACAAAATGGCATTCAGAAGGGCAGATCCTATTAGAAATAATAATTAACAACAATAAAAGGAAAACACGAAGAACTTGAAAAGTCTTATTCAAATGTGAAATTAGTTTATGGAAAGATTTACATGCAAACATAATTACCTTCCCTGAAGCATTCCGCACAGGTGAAATGTGAAGAAAATTCCAAAATGAAGTTTTATCTTTTCTGGAAGCACGACAAGACATAAGGTGTCAAAGAGAGAAGAAAATATAATGAAATTATCAGTAGCAAGCAAATTAGTCATCAACCTGTAATTTAGGATACGTACTGTACAAGCTTGCTGGTTGTCAATGCAGTCCTTTATCTACATATATAAAGCAAAATTTACATTATCCATTCTTTGTTCCATAATCTTCAATTTTCTATGTTTTCATCTTTCCTCTCTTTGTTGAGGGTTGGGATAGGGTGGTGCGTACAAAATAACTTATTAATGAAAAGTTAACCAATTAACAAACACCGCCCAACATCCATGTTTTGACTTAAATATATTAAGATCAAAATCTGAATTACAAAAGAATGCTACCTCACCTGGAATTGCGTTGTGGGGTCTGTATCTATCCCACTCAAAAATCGGCAGTTCTGCCCAAGTACTTCATGCCTATCATAGCCTAACCACACCCAGAAAAGAGAGAGAGAGAGAGAAGTTTAAAATCATTAACAACCATAATTTGAGTATATAAATACCAAGACTTGCATTGAACTGCATAATTTTTCATCCCAAGTTAAAAACACCTATTTGAACAAATCAAAACAGTACCTGTCAGCTTCAAGAACTCCTCACTCGCGTAAACTATAGGCATATCGGGCAAGAGAGCATCAGTTCTTTGTTGCGAAGAAAAATAGAAGTTTAATAAGCAGGTTTCCAGCTACTTAGATGGATATTAACTGAAATAATAAAGATCTTGAAATATGAACAAACTCACAATACAAAGCTTTGTTTGATTCTACCGAGAGATATATTTAAGGATGCCACAAGGCGCTCATTCCCTGTTAGGCATCGCCTTATTCCAGACACGTGCCTGCCTGTCAACTCACTGTGGTGTGTTAGCACAGATAAAATGTTTCTAATCGCAGCACTGGCTTTTGCCTTCTCTACCTCACTTGCGGTGCAAAGCTCATTAATCTCAACTTCTGAAAAAATTATTAAATTCATAAATTTAGAGTGCAAGCCGCTGATGTTAGTTTCTGAGGCTGGAAATCTGTAAAGTGCATTAATATTAAGCGACTTTTTTCCAAACATCAAAGAAAAAACGAAAGATAGAGAGGAAGTAAAAGGCAACTATCAGCTCCTAGGCTGATGCATAAACTAAACTAATTTTATGAATTCTTAGTTTTTAGGGGGTAAAATGAATTTAAGGTCCCATTAGAATATGAAGAAGTGCCATCCCTTCAAGTGCTTGCATGTACTCCCTAAATCAGCTTGACCACTACAAGCTCATGGATCAACAGATCATAAAGAACAATACCAAGCTATTGAACCCAAGATACATTGTAACATAGACAATTGCTCAGCAAGTATTGTGACTGCAAAATCCTATTACACACTGCTTTCAGTATTCATGTTGAGCAACGATAATTATCATCTTCTTTAGTGACAGTTTTGTATGTAATTGTTTGAAACTAAGAACGTTGAATCCGTGCCCATTCATAACATGATGATTTAAACCCATACTATCCAATTTGAAGTTATTTTCAGTAATATCCAACTCAACTGAGTACATTCCAAATCCTCCAACCAAAACGCAGCTTTAGGCAATAAAGCATTATATTCTGCATCACCTATTAGATTAACTCCTTATAGCAGTTAAAAGGCAATAACGCATTATATTCTGCATCACCTATTAGATTAACTCCTTATAGCAGTTAAAATGCACAATACTAAAAGGGTAATGAAAATCGACCATAAAATTTCCACACATATGCACCATCAAGGCTCAACAAACACATGAATATCAATAATAAATAATGTATCATTCATCAAATGCACAAAAAGAGAAAAAAGAAGTAGATTGCGAATAATTAAACAAACCTCTATCATCACTACTCGACACCAACTCAGGCGACGACACGTGCCTTACCTCCCAGCAAACTTCCCTCCTACAGCAACCCAGAACAACATCCCGTATTCCAGCTCCTTCTTCAAACAAACTTATCTCACTCCTAAAGACCCCATGTCCGGATAACCTTGTTTTCCTCGAAATTGGCACTTGAACCGCAACAAAATTAATCACCCTGTCATCCTCCTTGCTGAAAACAGGACACATTTGAAACAACATCCAAAATGGAGTCCCGTCTTTCTTGTAATTCAACAAGCTCAGCTGCAGGGCCCTCTCCCCACGAACAGCCTCACGAATCTCCATAACTGACCTTCGATCGGTCTCTGGTCCCTGAAATATCCTCCCATTTCTGCCAATCACCTCATGTTTTGAATAACCAACCATTTTCAAGAACCCATTTGAGGCGAACACAATTGGGTGCCCAGAAATGGAAGGATCGGTTATGGTAAAGCTATCCGGCAATTCATTTAGAGCCTCATACACCAACTGCGTGTATCTCATGTGAAACGAATCTTCAATGAATTCCAGTTGTGGTTCCATATCAAATTCAGCAACTTACCCTCAAAGATTGAAACGTTATGAGCAAAGGGTAATAGTCCCAAGCCCATGTGTCGGCTTTCAGCTTCTTGAAAGCTCGACTGATTCAAGACCCTTTTCGTCCTTTTCCAGTTTCAACCCATTAAACTACACAAGTCCCACGCGCACACATAGAAAAATCAAGAACAGAACTAACCAGGAAATAGATTTGATAGTATTAAATGATGTCCAATGATTTATGCAGAAACTTGTGGACGGAAAACGACAGAATAAAAGAGGCCAGAACTATATTAAATACTGGAGAACTATGACCGAGTGTTTTTGCCATACAAGGAATTACACAGAGTGGTCACTTTCTTCTTGTGAGGCTGAAAAAATAAACAATACGTACAGAAGAAGATGATTGATGCAAAT